TGGCTTTTTCAGTCCTCTGTTTTCCAGTGGATAATAGTAACCCAGGTAATCTAAACTCAGTAAAATATTGCATAAGAATTTTACTCTGGAATTAGTAATCTTAAGAGTAACAATTACATAGAGGATTACGAAAGAGTGTAATGACATTGATGTGTTACTCGGATGGAGATTACCACCAGATAATATTATTTTAATTTATATCAAAACAATGAATTACATATTAACAAATAATAATAAAATAATTAATGTGTTTGACTTCCATAAGTTCTTAAACTTTTCACTAAATTTCAAACAAAATCCGCCATAATGAAATCTAACCAATACTGAAAAATCAATATGCAACGTAAATTTCTGTTGCGTTGACCTAGGAACAAGATTTCATAAATTCATGTTCGTGTTACGTAATTGATCTCTATACATTTTGAATTAGATAATGTTTTGAAAATGAAATCCACCTTGCATATTTATATACATTTTATAGAGAAAATATGAAAAAAAACTAAGTTATACAAAATATGTAAAAAGATACAAATTTTAATTGTGTGCTTCAACTACAGAAACTGTATATTTTCTATTATTGTATCGAAAATATTGTAGAGTCAATCCTACTAAAGTTTTGAAAAAAAATTGTATTTCTTAGATTTTTAAGGCTTGATCTTAATGATTAAAGTACGACAAAAGTTATGTTAAACTGTTTTATAGAATATTTATTAATTTAAAAAATATATAAGGAGTTAAAAAGTATATTATTTATACTAAATATTGATATAACGAATATTTTCGTTAATTAAACTTTTGTGTAACTCTTATTAGGTTCAAATCAAAATTGGTTTTGTTGACATGCGCAACTGATTTCTACAAACGTTACAAAGCAGGAAGAATTAGGGCTAATAATCAATATCAATACTAAATATTGATATAACGAATATTATTTTCACCAAAGGAAGGTTAATACTGCTGGTATTTTTTATTTGTGATAATCATTGATAAACTGTTAAGCTGGTGGCATATTTTGAATTAAGTGAATAGGGAGAATCTTATCATGATTCATGAATAATTATCAAAAATATGGATGTGTTTTAATAGTTTAGCAATTTCTGTTTTATTTCCAAGGTAATACACATTTAGTTGACGAATTTCTGTTATAGGACCAATCTTATTCTTAAGACTGCTTGTTATAATTATGAAGAAATTAACAAAACAGAAACTTCACCTGTATTTCTTATAATTTGCAACACTCACGTTTTTCCAATCTATATAATAAAAGTTTTTATCAATATAATAGTTGTTTTTTTTCGACTGCTGTAATGCATCCTTCTTCAGGCTTAACAGACTGTTTTAATTTTAACTCGATTAAAGGTCTGTTAATCCTAAAAACAGCTGCAATATAGCAGTCAATTGTTTTTAATGAAAAATAAAATTATTAAGGTGAAGAAATGTTGTGTATTTTATTTTGCTAACTTAATTAATAATGTGTACTGCCAATAAACACTTTTAATGACGATTTTTTTCACACTTCAAAGAATTTTCATGAATTATTTTTACGATTTATTTTAAGTAAATTTAATTTATTAGTAAACTTGTTTGGGCAATAAGTTTCCGGTAATTAATACTGTGTTTCGTTATTTAATGATAATGTTCCTTTGAATAGATCAAGAGTTGGCTGTGGATGGTGTTGCCTTCCCTCTATTCTATCACTTCAAAATTAGGGACGGCTAGCGCAGTTAGTTCTCGAGTAGCTTTGCCCGAAATTCTACAAACAAACAAGTATCTTTGTGCTAGTTGTACAAGGCTATTCCTGTATATTTTCTTTTTTTACATTCTTTATTATTAAATTTTAATTTTTTTTTCTGTCATGAGGAAAAATTAAATTTAAAGCTTGTTTGTTTTAGAGCAAAGCCACATTGGACTATCTGCTCTGTCTACCGCGGGGAATCAAACTCAGAATTCTAGCCTTATAAGACCATAACGCGTCTCCCACCGGGGGACAAGTTTAATGCTAAATTGTAGCGCTATAATATTCACATAGTCCTTATAAGATGTTTTATTATCAATTTTAGGATTTTATACTGGTGGTTTAAAAGAATTTACAATAAACAGTAGCATTTTTTTAGCTGTTATTTCAGCGTCTAACATATATTTTATATTTTGCACGTGATTCTCTTAGGTTGTTCTTTGAAGCAAAAATAGAATTTATTGAGTATTAGTAGCTCTATATTTGATAGAAATAAATGATTATTTTTTAACGCTTAGAGTTTTGCACTAATTATATTTTTATCGATGTTTTAATAAAACCCAACTGTCAGCCGAAGAAAGGCAGATAACGCTGCCCCCTAGTTCTACGTATAAGGAGATCACAGGGCTCCGGGAAGGAACCAAATACGAAGTTTCCGTGACAGCTGTTTACACAGGAAACCGGCGGATGGCAGCACCATCATTAATTTTTGAGACTGAATCACCCTTTATTTCCTCTGTTCAGGAAGATCACGTGCTTCCAGGTCACAGCTTGTTTGTGGAAGAACCAGGTGAGTTATGTTGCTGTTGTTTTTCCTGCAAAACAATCGTTAATGAGAATATACGTGCTTAAATAATTATAACTTTACACAGTGTGATTCTGTTAAACGCAAATAAAAAAAAAAAAAAGAGACACTGAATATTACAAGAAAAAGATATTTCGGACAACTCACTCATAGACAAATTTTTATTGATATTATATTTAGTTTTGGTTTAAAGTCTATATTCGTGTTAAGCTAACTTCGACGTGGTTTACAGGATATTCATTAAATTACACGGGGGTAATCATTATGTCGCTCAGTACGGAAACAGCCCCCCCCCCCAAAAAAAAACATGGGTTGGAGATAAGTCTTATTTCTTCATCATTTAATAAACATACGTGTCGATGTTAATATTCGATAAGATCGACGTTTTTTCTTGGTATTCAGTGCAGAATATTAATCAGTGTGCAATAATCAGAATACTGTATTTACAATACAAACTGATTAGTTATCACTGCTGTTATCGATATTATTTGGGTAGGACGAGGCTTAGTGGTTAGCATGCTTGGTTTGTGAATCCGAGAGTAGATGGTTTGGTTTGAGGCCCTTTGTCACAAAAACGTGCTCGGTTTTTGGGGTCGTAGGTGTGCTGTAAGAGTGATAGCCAAATCCTATAATTAGGTCAGACAAAAGTAGCCCAAAAGAGTTGGCGGTGGTCGCTCTTTTTGCTGGTTAAACTTTCTATGTTGGTCAGTTCAAAATTAGGGGCGGCTATGCGCAGATAGCCTATTGTGTAGATTTGTATGAAAATTCTGAAACAAACAAAATTCTGATGTTTCGGGACCATTCTTCAAAATGATAGTAGTTCATAAAAATAATAAGGAATACACGTGTTAGAGGAATGCAGTTTTCAAGGTCTAAATTTGATTAGTTTAACAAAATAAAATACTGTGACAACGTAGCATTCCAAATCTTTACACTAACTATGAAATTCCAGTAAAAGTAAACAAGAAAGTTTTAAAGCTTTGGGTGTGAGGATGAGAAAGTTAATGTTCATTTGAGGTACTTAGGGATATGTTTTGAAACGATCCCTTTTTAGGTGGTTATTGTCCGTTACATAGGTAAGCGTCTCGAACTGAAAAATGAGAAATCGTTCAATAAGTTCGTTATTGTTTAATCATTTCAGTAGGCTTGTGGCCTTGACTTTAACAAGTCTACAAATATTTCAGAATATGCATTCTACAGTAATTTTGAGAGACGTTGCATAACGTATTATTTTTTTATTAGAATGTAATTGTAGTGAGCCTGGAACAGCAGCATGCACAAGAATCCACAATTCAGTAAAGTGCACTTGTTTCCCTGGATACACCGGTAATGTTGCATAACGTATTATTTTTTTATTAGAATGTAATTGTAGTGAGCCTGGAACAGCAGCATGCACAAGAATCCACAATTCAGTAAAGTACACTTGTTTCTCTGGATACACCGGAAATGTTTCATAACGTATTATTTTTTTATTAGAATGTAACTGTAGTGAGCCTGGAACAGCAGCATGCACAAGAATCCACAACACAGTAAAGTGCACTTGTTTCGCTGGATACACCGGAAACTGGTGCGACCAATGTACTTCTGGATTTTTCCTCGACAAAAAGGTATGCAAGGACTGCCCCTGTACGAATACAACATCATCAGGAGAATGCACATCAGGTAGGAATTGATTTACTATTAATTACATGGATGTTTTTAGGTTGAATAATAGGAACAAAGAAATAAATATATTAACATACATACGAAAGTTAAAAGACCGAAGCATTTAATATTTCAGTTTATCAGAATGTATTAACTCTAATTGGTCATTTTTCATATAATATAATACACTCCATGTATAAATTAAATGCTCAAAAATGAATAAAATTGGTCAATATACCTTCCTTTTTGAATTAAAATCTTATTCTAATTATACTTTCTCTTACTTACTTTATTGTGTTTTCTGTAAGTTTTAGTAACAGTTTTCAGCGTTGCACCATTCCTACTGACTTAACACTGTCTGCTTCATCAGGATTTAGATGCAGATGGACCTGGGAGGGGAGGGTGCAAACTTCACATCTTCCGCCCTCAGCACTGGTGTGATAGATACACTATTAGAATGGTAAACGCAACATAAACGAGGGCGTTGAATACACAAACTTTTATACTATGAAATTCAATAACCCTATCAGGGCCATGTCCATTTATGTGCAACGCTCATCATTCCCATTGGGATACACTTACTTTTATATTCTATATATACCAATGTAGTTTCATTTGGTAGTTTACACTATGTGTATTCACATAAATACCCTATTTAATACACTATTTTATAAACCAAAGAATGATATATTATGTAAGTCTTGCAATAGGTGGCTGATTACTAAACCCAGAGTACATGTTAATAGGTGAGAGGTACTTTAGGCTTATTGCCACCATGTATGATATAGGGATCTAATGCGCGTAGAATTTTATTTTTTCAGGTTTTTCTTAAACATTTGAATGATCTGCTTAGAAGACTGTCGTGGAGTGGTTGGATATTTTCATATTGGTGTAAAAATTGTGAATTTGTTGATCTCGGGACTTCTTATGCGCTTGTAAGAATTACATGTTTTAGTTTCTGGAGTTTACTTTTGATTTTCTTGATAGCTACATTGATCCATGCTGGGCCAGCATATTCTATAACTGATCTTATATAATGTTTGTATATATTTAATATGTTATTTGGTGTTGCGCATGTATTATTCCCCGACAGATCTCTAACTTGATTTACTCTTCGCCAGATCTTATTAGAAAGTTCATTTACGTGTTTTTGCTAAGTTAATTTAGAATCATATGTTAAACCGAGAAATTTTGCTGAAGTAGCTGTCTGGAGGAGTGTTTCTTGGAGGTATAATTTTGGGGTAATTTTCAGTAGTCTCTTTAGTTGAGCAATTACAATAATTTGTGTTTTTGGTATGTTTATTTTTAATTCATTTCTTTGAGCAGTATTCAGCAATGGAATTTAATGGTGGTTGTAGGTTTATGGCCACGATTGATGGAGTTGGTGAGCTCTTCCAAATAGCTACATCATCGGCAAATTGTGAGGTATAACACAGGTTTGAATCGTCTAATGGCATGTTGCTTACATACATGATGAAGAGTATGGGGCTAACTACCCATCCTTGAGGTACACCTACCTCAGGAGTAAAGTGCCCTCTACATCTACCCTATATTTTCTAGGAAGTTTGATAACTAGCGAATAATTCCTCGCGGTAGTTCCATCTCTAACATTCGGAACCTAAGACCTGCGTGCTAGATGATGTCGAATGCCTTCTCTAGGTCGAGAAAACAAACAACCGTGCACTCTCTTTTATTAAAGCTATCTATTACGGTTTCAGTTAACCTAACTAAATGATCTGTTGTTTGCTGAAATTTCCTGAAACCGTTTTGTACATCAGGTAATTCTGAGTTTCTTTCTACGCAACTGGTCAGGCTGATGGGTCCTGTAGATGTGTGGTTTATTTGCTGGTTTTCCTTCCTTTAAAAAACATGGGAATATTCGCTTGTATTCCAAGAGACGGGGGACGTACCCTGAAAAAAATCAGGGATAGATTGAACAGTGCCTTTAGGTGTTCAAGTAATAACCGAGTTCCGTTTCTGAGTAGGATTGTTTGTATGGCGTCTGCTCCGCGTACTTTGTTTTTAGTTTGTTTTATAGCTATCGAAATTTGAGTGATTGTTATTTCGCTTGTCACGTGTTCATCCAGTATGGTGTTTATACAGTTTATTGTGTTACGAGTGAGACCGGGAAGGTTGGCGTAAATATGTTACTATTTTGTTTTCTACTTAATTTCGGAAGTAATCATTCATGTCTGGATCATTCTGTGTTTGAAAGATATTTTGTGTTCTTTAAATAGTTCTGCTTTCTGCGAGTTTGTGTATGCTGTTTTGTTGACTGACTTAACCAGTTACTTTATTATCTATTTAAAGTGGCGCCAAAAAAATTTACAAAATATTTTTTTGAAAAATAATCTTTTATGTTTTACATCACGTGTCCCAAAAGGGAAAACATTAAAATATGTTTCTTTTAGAAGTTTATAGTTTCTCAAAATACATTCATTAAAATGTTTGCTGGCATATAGTAGGCTTTTTCCTGGACATCAAATATGGAATTTATGTAAATTCATACTCAGTTTTACATTATCTGTTTCACAATATAGAATCCAGCATAATTTAAACATTTTGAAAGATATATTACGTTCTTAGAGCCCCCTAGTGACACAGCGGCGTGTCTGCGGACTTGCAACACTAGAAACCGGGTTTCAGTACCCGTGATGGGCAGAGTATAAACAGCACATTCTGTAGCTTTATGTTTAACTACGAAACAAACGTTCTTAAAATTGCAGTTAACTGAGCAATTAATAAAATCAAAATTCTTTATTGTTTTAGTAGTTTTCTTATAACCTAAATTATATAAAGCATAGTTCATGCTGTCACAACTGAAAATACATTATTTAGAAAAATCTTCTTTTTTGGGGGGGGGGGGTTTATTTAATAATCTATACACCTTTTTAGGTTGTCTTCTTGATAATAATTTTATTATTTCTGAATACATCTTTCAATTGTTTTTTATTTTAAGTGTGTATTAACAAATGAAATATCAATATGTATATTTGTACAATGAGTCACAACAAAAGGTATAACATTTTCTTTATGTTTACTAACCTCTCTGTTTAAATGTTTTTTTATCAAGAAGTTATTATTAGCTATTTTAAAACCTCTTAATATAACTTTTTCTGGACAGTGACACCGAACTAAGATTTTTTTTTAGTTCTAATAATCTATTAACTGTCGTTTCTTCATCGGAAACCAAACGATATAATCTACTTGCAAGATTTGTAGAAATATTTAATTTTGTGTGTTTGGGATTATTACTAAAAAATCTACGTATTGATGTAAGTTCGTAAAAAATATCAATTACAATTTCCTTTTTTTGTGTGAAACAATTACCAACACATCTAGAAATGACAAAATAAAATTCCTACAAACTTACAAATACCTTGAGTATCTTTCCATATTACTAAACAATCGTCTATAAATCTTTTCCGAAAAGTTTTCAAGTGAACTACAAAATAGTATATTAAATAATTGTAATTCGAAAAATCCCATAGTGTTCAGTAATTTTTTGATTACTTCCTACAATCGGTCTTCCTGAAGTATTGGAAGGTTTTTTCAATAAATATATTCACTTTTTGTTTCCAACAGTAATTCATTAATCTCTTTTAATTTATGGATTCTATCATAATAGGAAAATTATAATTATAATAAGATTTTAATTCAATGACTAATTTTATTCATTTTTGAGCATTTTAATATACTTAATTTATATATATATATATATGGAAAGTATATATATTTAATTTAGATTATTTATGTTTAGTTGAGAAACGGTATTTGTATGTTTCTGTTATAGATTTTCAGTAAAAGTATATCCTGAAGAGTGACCTTTGAGGTAACGAAACCGGTAGAAGAAAGTAATAAACGAGAGATAAAATAGAATAGTCAGATATTCCAGTGTTTTCTTATAAATAATGTGTAATTTGTGCTACTGGAATGGTTCTGAAATCATATAGGAAATAATTAAATGTTCCTAAAATAGACTGGTTTTTTACATCTTTATCCTTTAAACAATCCAAGAGCGGACGCGCCCTGGACCACTTACTGAAATCTAAAATGGCGTTCCTGATAAATAGTTTTTAATATCATGTATGTAAATTGTAGTGAAAAGAGTAAAAATCATCACGAAAGATATTTAACCATACGTTTCTAGGCAAACAAGATTCAACTTTCTCTGCAAATTAGGTCATGGGAGCCGAAAAGTGACTTAAAGTCGCTATGAATGTATAAAGAACATGCAGGTTCTTGAAAAACTTGTATACAGAATATATCCAGGATGAGGCTAGTAGTAGAGTTCTATTAAAATACTTAGTATTGTTTAAAGTAAACCTGTATATTTACAGACTAATGTTTATCGGAAGTGTGACGAAACATTCCAGTTGTTCGATTTTTTTCCCCCCATCTGTCACTGGGTGTCTTCATCTAAGCAGATGGGGCTCAGACTCTCAATTTTTGCTTCCTAAGCCTCAGCATTTGATACAAGTAAACTTTCGACATCTAACTTTCATTTTTTTATCGCCCAAAATGATCTGTTTAAAAATGTATTTATAATGATTTAAATGATATTTTGTCTGTATATAAACAGCGTTGTGTAAATAATATTTATACACACACACACACACATACCTTTCGCTTTTTTCTTGGCATATGACTTTTTTTTTAGTCTACTTTGATTTCCGGTTCAATTTGTCGCTCAAATGCACCTTTCATTCATTTAACGTATTATATTTATTCACGCTTTATAACGACCAACTGAAACTATAGTTTCGTGCTGTATATAATATTTTGGTAATCATGATGAATTATTGCCAATAGAGGGTAAGCTATCTTTAAGTATGGGAAATAGCTTGGTGTAGATGTTGTTTATGTGCACATTTTTTGATCCTGCATTGCGAAAAAAGTAGTTGAGACGATCTAGGTTTCCAGATAGATCTGTCTCTGATTGTCTTGGATATTAATGAAACAGTTCCCAAGCCGATCAGAACTGCTCTGAAGTTTATTTCACTCTCTCAAGTATCAAAATAGGTTATTTTAAGTTACCTCGATTCAACTAGGTCCACTTTCTGTCTCATATGCTGGATAAGCAATGTTAACATGGAAGTAAAATATTCACCTATTTATACCATGTTGAATGCTAAGCCTAAGCAAAGGAAAAATTATATAAATCGCTCAATAACTCCATTAACTTTTTTTTCAAGTTATCAAGTCATTAATGTTTACTTTAAACAAGCTTCAGAACTAAAAAAAAATTATAAAGCTTATAACATAAAATTTAAACCTTACAAAGTTTCTTTAATGAATTCGATTAGAAAAGCTTTACTTATGTTTATCCGTTTAACCCTAGGGACATTTTCTTATGCGAGCTTGTAAGTTCCTATCGTAGAGACTATGTATTTTTGATACGAGGTCATTGAAATTTATGAATAGTCATGAAATTTGTAACGGGGGGAATGTACCCCGATGAGTACAAATAATGTTTCCTGTTTCACAGTTGAAAATCTACCTTTTTTTCTTTTCTCATTTTTCGCAGATATATTGACATACCAGTTTGTATAATGTTATTCTAAGAAGCTTCAGTTATAATTTTCCACTGAATTAGATATATTTGCAATTTAGAATTTTTTTTTACTTGAAGTTAAATGATAATTATGTTACACAAATACCGTGTTACACAACTTGTAATTGGTTAAGTAGGGAAACAATAATTTCTTTTTTGCTTAGAATATTTAAATTATACGCTTGAGAATAAATTAAACAAATACTAATGGGAATATACTGGCGACAGTTGTTTTTTATTATTGTATGAGAACGCCAAGGGCTCGAAAGAAAGCCCAAACATGGAACGGAAAATGATAAAGCAAATGGACTGAGAACATTACTTACAAAAGAAGTTGATGTATCGCATGACTTCAGGTCTAAATGTAAAACAAACAGGACTGCTGTTTTCCACAAAAACACTACGTTAAAATGCAGCCAGTGTGACGTATAACTAATCATCTGTGTTACCTACTGTTATAACTATTTAAGTACTTAGAGATTCATTCTTCAATAGATGAATTCGGGGAGGTCAAGTGTGAGTCATGTCTCGCTGGACATCGTGGTCGTCTCTGTTCTTCGTGTACTGCAGGATATCGTTGGAATAATATCAGTTGTGTGCCCTTGAACTGCTTGAGTTTCACGTTGTGCATGGAGCAGATGGATCATCCGGGGTGCAGTGACTGTATTTACTTGATGGACAGTTTGTCTCCGCCTACTGCACAGAAAAGTTCAGGTAAGCGAGATTTTTTTTTCTTCCTTAATCAAGCACTAAAGAGAATCAACATAACATACATTTTTCATGGATATTTTTACTGTGCATAAATGCATAAATAATGAATCACCTCTCTGCCTGTTTCACGGAAAATTAAAAGGAAATTATATTGAGAATACTTGTCTCCACTCGTTGCACAAAACTTCTGTATTTACTGTGATGAAACTTCGGATAGAATATTCGTTTTAATGGATTTATCTTCATAAAATAACAGGAAAAATATATCTGAACAATTATTTGCCATCATTGCATAGAAAAGTGCATACAAAGTAAATATCTATTACACAGAAAAGCGCAAGTAAAATGCAACATTCACTGAGTCGTTTCGTCAATAAAAACACTAAAATGATATATATTAACATTTATTTACTTAAAATTCAAAAACAGCAAAAATGGGGTAGAAAAATATATCATTTTAAAACAACGTTTCGCCACTGTTAACAGTTTCTCAATTTAGCTGTTTTTGAATTTTAAATTTTGTAAAATGTGGGATACCTCCAACATTTATAACAACATGTATTTATACTTTTTACTTTATAAGTAGCATACTTTTTAACATATTGAACGATTGATGATTTTAGGGGTAACGCTGAAACAATTTTTATAGAGGGGTGCATGACAAAAACCATAAAATAAAATTGTAACCTTTCATATGATGGAACCAAGTATTCGGTTGCTGTTATGTTAAAATACGTTAATTAAATGAAGTCCGCATCAATAAGTATTTATATATTTAATATTAAGAAAATGTTAGCCACAGTCCTTCGTACAATGTTTAAAACAGGCGTACCATAAAACGTTAAAAATAAACAAATTAGAATTTATATTATTATATTTACAACATCATTAGCAAGTACGCATCATCCTCTTACTTCAAGTAAGAGGGTGCTGCTAATCCTCAGCATTTCTGCTTCCCACCCCCTCGGCTGCAGATGGTGAACAGTTGTAATGCAGTTTGGGATATTATGGGCTGAACCCGTGCTCCTGTTTCGACTTCACCTATAAACTATATTGTTTTTCTGAATGTGTTCGATCCGGACATCTCAACGTATTTGGAAGCTATATCTGCGGACATTTGCATTTTGAACTCTTTGCTAAATGTTATGTTTTCGTTACATTTAAATTTGTTTGCTCCTTACCCCCTCCACACTTTCATCTATCGACAGAGAAAAACACAAGAAAATCATATACTGAAAGGAGAATTTCTCTGCATCAGTTTTAGAATAAATTGAAGTAATGAATTTATCCCGTGGACAGGTTCTCTCATCTATTTAATATAAAAGTAGAAATAAAACATCCAACTGAAGAAAAAAATAATTTTCCATCCATCTTTTACAGGGTTAAAAGTGAAACATTAAATTGACGGACACTGTTTTTGTTCTATTTTTGTTAAGAAAAATAGAAATTACTGTTCGTTTATGGCGGTGTAGACTAGTGGTTAGCGTGCCCGAACTAAATCTGAGGGTTTATAGTTCGCGTCCCGTCGTAACAAAAAATACCCAAGCTCTTTGGAGCCATTGTTGCTTTAAAACAGTGACGGTTAAATCCCACTATTCTATTAGAATAGCCAAAAAGGTGGCGGTGAGTGCTGTTGAATGGCGCCTTCCCTCCAGTCCACGCTATGCACAGCTAGCTCTTATGTTGCTTTGCGCGTAAACTCTAAAGAAAATTTCTTTCACAGAAAATAAAATTGGTTATACTTCAATAGCAATGCTTTTATATGTAACAACTTTATGGACATTAAGCTACTAGTTAGTACTATTAAATCAAAACAAGACAGTTATGCGTATTTGCTTCTAACTTGTATGCTTAAGGTAAAGTGGTTAGATAGAAATGGAATAATTAATTTTCTCGTGTAAACTATACCATTAGGCTTAGGAAAAATTAATAATGTTTAATAAAACGTTTGTTTTAATAACTGAGTTTTAGGTCTAATGTAGAGTTTAAATGAATAAAACAACTTAACACTCTAATATGTAGTGACTATACTACCAGAATATTAGATTCTTATTTTCCCTATCTTCCTGCAGCATTAACTTTCATGTTGTACGAATGATTGTGCGTCTTTTTTATTAATATTCTTAACTAACATTTTCAGCATGATCTCAGGGGTAGTAATCCTAAAGATAAGTTGAGTTGAACAAAACTTAATTGCAGATTGTTCCCAGGACTAAAGCTCATTAGTGAAGCTAAACGAAAACGATTCGCACCATTTACATCAGCATTTCTCAACCCAAACTTTTGGCGTCAGAATGTGTAAAAAGTTTGCAAAGAGCTTTGAAAATAGATAATAGTGATTTTGTACAAAAGCTATCTACTGGGTCGCGACTGGCCAATGTTTATGAACGGCCCTTGGCCAAACGAGACTAAGAACCAGTGAACGTAATCACTTAACCACACGTGATAGTACTCACTTAATGGTAATTTTATTTCAAATCGTCTAAGGAGGTAGTAGGCCTTAAAATACTCAACGAGTTTTTCAACAGTAACAACGTTTTCTTTCCTCATTTAACACGCCAATATAGACATTTTGTAAACATGGTCATTAGGCTTCATTTTATCAACTTTTTTGTTCGCTTACTTGTTAAATAGTTGAACATACATTAATTTCATGATTTTTCTTTTTTAATCTTTTGGCCCCTTTTATCAAATTGTAATGGAAAACGTTGGATTTTATGTATGTAATGTTTGTCTTACTGTATTAGGATAGAAGATTAATACAATCTAATGAACTTTAAATGGTTTGTTAATTTTTATACCGAAGAAACATGAAACGAATTAAATCTAAATTTCAGAGCGAACAATCGCTGATGGAACTGTGCCGTTAATTGCTGTGATAGTGACCCTTGGAATCATCTTATTGGTTGCTGCTGGTGCTACATGTTACCGCTCATGGGTTCATTGGAGGGCGCGACCAAGGCTCCCTCTATGGGAAATGGAACTCGGTGAGGACAAGAAGACGTTGGGTTACCATTCTATATGCAGAATAAATGATGATAATATTCATCATGCATCAACTGTGGCAGAAGAGGAGGACCTCACCGACTACACTCATTCCGCTGTTTCATAAATATCCCATAGACCAGGTTCCGTGACCATTGTAATCGGGGAAAAGAATTTATTTTCAAAGATTTCGATAAAAGTCATAAAACTGTCCTTTGAAGAGAGTTAAGATTACAACGTAAACCGATAGCGTTGCTTAAGAAGGGTGCCCTAACGTCAAAGAAAAAAATAAACGTTGAGGGCGAGTTACTTCATAATTAGGGAGTTGGGTCAACATTTGATAATGACACGGGACGGGTTATTATTACTAGTTTGAATGTCAAGAAAATATTATTTTATACAAAGTAAGTGAACAAAATAATGGGTAACAATAGGATTGCAGATAAATTACAAATGAGAGAAAATAAAATAAAGGTATTGAACTTTATTGTATGATATAAATATGCTGTTTGGTAAGAAAAAGTATTGCCACTCATAATTATGAAATATGGTCTTAATGGCGTTACTTGGCTAGAAAATGTAACTGCAAGTGGAAGTTTTGCCATAAATAGTAATTTTTTTAGAAATGTTTACATTTTAATACATTTGATGACCTTGATGAAATAGTAACTACTAAAAACAACTAATGTCTATTTTTTTACTTCTTTATGGCGGTTTCACCTCCTTTCAGCTTGATTACGAACAGAATGAAAAATGAGTTGGATAGCTAGCTATTCTTCATCCGAAGAAATCCGTATGTGTTCAATGTTTGTAATACCGCTGTTCCAATCACTGTAGATATATCTATCGTGCTTTGTATGTATAGTAAGTTTCAGGCTACGGATAAAAATGCCCGAAATAATAAATTCTTTATTTGATAATTATTTATTTAGTGGTGCTAGCAAATTCCAAGTATGTACACGATTTTATTATTTAGCACCTAACTATTGACCATGGTTTGGCTTCCGGATGAAAAATATAAACGAAAATGCATGCCGAGTGAATTAATCCTATTTATGAACACTTAGTATTTTGCATGTACATACATACAGCTTGCTAAGTTTTACGTGTTAAGTGTTTCAACTAAAATGTTGATAATTTCGATCTGTTTCACGAAACTAACTAAGGAGTTGAATGAATTATCAGAGAGAACAGTACTTTATACAAATGTTTATAATGTAAAGCTAAAGTGTCACTCAGCAATATATAAAAATACTAATAACAATGAAACAAAACTGTGGTTATGTTTAGGATAGCTCAATAAAAGCTACACCGATGTACCCTTATTTGCTATTTTGTAAATAAAAACATGCGATCGAAATTGTAAACAACTTTTTATAGAAATATCAATCGAGAATGAGAATTTATTCTTAGTAACATACAAGTCTTAAAAGGAATGACTATATAAAAAAAACTTATATTTTTACTTATACAACCCCTTCTATTTAAATGCACAATATCATCGAACTTTATCAGGGCCTCGTGAAAGAGGATAAATATTTGGAGGTAAATTAAGTACCAGTATCATTAGAAACTTGTAGTTATTGTAGGACCATCCTTAAAACAATTTAAAGGTATTGTGTTTGTTTATTAGTTAGAAAAGATTTACCTTGCAATTTTTCTCAAAAAACAAACAAACTGCAAAATATTATAGTGCCATCTTTTGATATATTTCTAAACTTTTAAACAGCAATACTTAAATTTAGTTTTAAACGGAGCTGCAAAATAACATGAAATTAAACCAAGCTTGTGTGTGTGTTTTTGGAGAATATATATTACGCTCAAACTTAAATGATTTTTCTGACTGTAAAATAAAAATTCGAATAAAGCAATAACTTGAAAACACCTGATTTATCTCTATCATTGGTGGGACTGAAAAGTGAATACACCACTTTTCTAAATCTCTCTCACTTTTTTTGTTATAACCTTATACGATATTAACATAACATAATGGTTAGGGACAACAAGGGATCTATTGGTCCATCTCGACTTGCAGTACAAAATAACTATTACGAAAAGAATGGGGAAACTAAAAACCAAATTGTAATCATTTCATATTTATATTGTTCTTAAATTTTGTCTATTAACTTTGTGGATAATATCCAATTCAAAGTTCCGTCAACACTGCACGATTAAAACAGATTTGTCCAGTTGTAAAATGAAAAATGCCGTTCACACTTTTTATTAGTAGGTCAGAATAAATATGTTACATTATTCAACAACCAAAATTATAAGTCATGTGAAATGCTTTTATAAAGATAACTGTGTTCTGAAAACATACCCACAGGATTACCCCTAAAAACAAAAATAATGAGAGTCTATTGAATTTGCTTACATACAAAATGTAGGATATACTAAAGAGTAAGGTTTGTAATTTATGACTTACCAATTTCCTCCACCTTCAAAGCAATTCACTCATATGCATTTTTTAACATGTTTGAACAAGCACAGTGGAGTGACTACAATTTTAAAATTACCCTAGGGAAGGAAGTTAAAACAGCGATGAAAGATTAAAAATATTCAAAGTGAAAAACTTTCACTGACAAAAAAACAAACAAGTCTAGCAGGTTAAGGTGTTTATTTTAGAATTATGTATAGCCAGGAAAATATTAAACAAAAAGTTAAATATTAAGAAATAAAGTATGTAAATTAGAATAATGTAAATGTACAATATATACAAAATACAAGTGTAGATCTTAACATTTTGCTATAACCTTCCTCTATCAATCATGCAGAATACATTTAAAAAATTAAGAACTTGATCAGCAACTTTTAGGGAATGGTTAGATCAAGATCTTATAGGGTTTTGTTTATAAAAGGAAGATGTTTCTACATAACATGATTATTAGAACTGTTCTTTAAGGATATTGAAATCTGTAACAAAAGTATTGACCATGTTGTTATGTAAGCTTAATAATCTGAACATATATACTAGTTTCTGTAATATTCACATAGAAAATTGAAACACTTTTTATATTGCTGGTTTACCTACTGAGCTTGGATTGCAAGGAGTGGTTACAAATGATTGAAAATGTGCCAACCACATACATATATATACATACACACACACGTGTGTGTGTATGTGTGTGTGCTGGGGCATCCAGAACCAGCCCAGGCCCCAGGGTCTGTAATATCATTGGGTACCCCTTTCATTCTTTATTAACTTTGCTGATTTTTCATAAAAGAAATTTAGGTGACAAATTTCTTCTTCAATCCATGAAAAAGCAGTAGCCATTTTAGTTTATTAAGTAGTATGCATTTGCTCATCAACAGACCCTTATTATCCTCATCAACCCTGTGTGTGTGTGAAGGTTGTGCATATCTTTAAACTGGGAATATAATGTAAATATTCATTATCTGTGAGAATAAAAGGTTGATGAAATATATATATAATAATGGACAAAACTATGTTATCTTAAATATGGGTTTCAAATATTCAGCATTAGAATGTTGCTACAGTTGTTAGACAAAAGGAACATACATTATGTCAAGCTTTGAAAAAAATGTGACATAATAATTAGCCCGTACAATCTCATTATAATCAACAGCGCATGAAAAAACTGCAAACACATTATGTAGAGAGACTTGGATGTCTGATATCTTCCATACCTATGTTAGCTTATGTGTGCAATTTAACATCACTAACTATATGAAATAGGTTGCACAGCATAATTTTATACCCACTACTTGTCCCATACCAACAGGTCAATGGGAAGTGCATTTAGCCGGAAAAGATTTCTGTATTTTGGTCATAATATAATTGAAAACCACTTATATTTTAATAAACCTCCTTTTGCTTCAAAAGCCAATAACAAAGTGTTTCATATATAACTTCTTGACCACTTACATGAATAACCTTACATTCAGGAGAACTAACCATGTTTGCATGAAGTCAGGAATGCTCTTTTAGATATCATTTGCTGCTTTCCAGTCCGTTTATGAAAACTTTTGTTTGTCTGTTATTAAGTTTTGGTCCTAAGCTTGTTCCCTTGTCTCGGAACATATCCATTTACCTCAAGAAACACCAGAAGAAGTGAATTTGTAACTCAGAGATTTTAAAACTGAGTACATTCTAACATAAGCTACAGACAAGTAAACTAGTGAAAAACAAAGATCATTCTGAAAGGCCACAGAACATAAATTAACCTCTATTTATGAAAAACATTAAGATATTTCATATATGACAAACTGAAAATCATCTTACATGCATAGTCACTGACTGTATGTGTCTAGCAATATCCAATACCACAACCAAGTATGACTGGTAAATCACCAACATTTACTTTCCATATGCTAATTATAAATAAAGTATGGTGTATTAAAGAGCTAAGGTTTTATAATATTTTATTATACAAGTTAAAAGTACAGTTTGACATTGAAAAATCCAAATGATAAAACTTTATAGTCAAGTTATTAACTGCAGTGTAACCAAGCTCACATTCTTTACATGCTCCCTTTTAACTACTTCCACATAAAACATTAATATAGGAATGCAGTTATCACAGCCAGCTGCACTATGATACAGCATGTGAAACAAAAAGAAAACAGTGGCAATCTGATATATTACTGACATGTTAAACAGTCCTACAAGTAGATCGTTAGTGTAAGGTCTAGGACGTGCCTGTAACATTCTATTACTTTGAGTAGGCTTATTCTACTCCATAGTACTAAGTGCAAGTACAATTGTTTACTTAAAAACAAGAGGGCATGATAGCTATTGAAGGTAATTTTGGAGCTTTAGCATTCCATGATTCACGATTTTTGTAAACTAACTTTTGGTTTAAGTCTAGGGAGAAGTGATTTTCAGACTAACTATTAGCTCAAGTTGTCAGTCTTAGCAGAATTGTTAAACTGGTTTAACATTTGGTGATAATGAGTTCTAGCATAAAAAGAAATAATTATGACTTATTTTCCACACATCTTTCTTGCCCCAGTTCTTTAAAGAAGAAAAATTCAAGAACATTTTATATTTAAATACTTAATTAAAAATTATGAGTTAAAATATATTAGTAAATTATTAATCTTATATTTAAAAAGTGTCATATTTACTTCTTTGTAATTTTATTTTTGAAAATGACACTTAAAGTTGGTGAGGTCAATGGATAGGACTATTAGAAAAAATCTTTACTAAAAATAAAATAAAACAATTTTCTTATGCTATATGTTTAAGTTCTTAAAACAAGCAAAGACTTGATACTATAACACTTAATATCTAAATACATGATTGATGAAAGTAGCATTTACCCCAAAGGTTTGTGCATTGTTTTGTCCAAAAAGCCTTTCAGAACATCATGTTATACACTAGATGTGTGGGCAAGATGCTATTACATATATTCTTGTTACTGGAAATCCATATAAAGCTTGTAAAAAAAAATTAGTAATTTTATGAATAATGCCACATAAACAGTGGTCTGTCAGTATAAGGCATTAATATTTCAAAAAAGACTGATGGAAATAGTATTTTAACCAAGACTTTTTGTTGCATGACCAGCCAACCTGATTACCATTGGTACTGAGCCAAACCCATCGTTGTCAGCAACGTACTGCATATAACATCTATGAACTAAATGCTATTATATTATTATTCGTATTGGAAATCAACATGGACAAATAAAGAAAGATTTGTTAAAAATTACTTCTGTTATGGAATTTCTTAAGTGGTTGCTACATTATGCTACACAATCAAAATTAAATTAATCAGCTGAGAGCTGATCTCGACAGTACACAGCTGAATGTCTAAGTAGAATGTTATATGAGAAGAACCAACGGAGAAACCAAAGATCTTCAATTCACAGTAATTGTATCATATGAAGCATAACAACTGATACAGAACTTTGAATTAATAAAACCTTAGCCAGTATCATAACAAGAATTTGAAGTTGATGAAGACTCAATCTCTCAGCTACACCTCAGTCAACGGGTTTTCTCATGAAAGATGGCCAAAGAAAGTGGAATTGGGACTAACCCTGTTTGACCATACACGTATTAAGTCCATAGATGTAGCTCCTGTGGAATACTGTTCATTTGATTTGGTTAAAAGTGTACTTGGAAGTTGTAAGTTAAGACATTTGCAAGCTTTTAATGATCTGACTTGAGGAGTGGGACAACAGTGTCATGGCTGGACTCCATCAAAGTCTGAAGTCATGGAAACACTGCTGCTGGGCTATTATTAAGAAGAGGGTCTTCAGTACTTGTATGTTAGTTACAACCAATAATACCACTAGTAACAAGGGTACCTAAGGTTCAATACACTTTAATCTTTGTTGGCTTTAGTTTTCTTGTGAATTGACTTATGATATTAAGAAGTTTTAGTTGGAAAGTTATACAAGATCAGTTGCATTTAATATAAAGTTAACATTTATGTTCAGATTTAGTAAGCTTATTTTTGATCAGAGGTTCTTAATAGATATTTTGATAAAAGGTGAATTTTCTTATTAAAACAGAGCAATAGAATTCAGCCACAACCATATAACAGAATACCAACAAATTTCATTAACAGTAACTGAATAGTATTTTAAAAGTTTGACACTGAAACAGTACTGAATGTATAACCTTAAAGTGCTTAAGTTTGTTATTTTATCTTAATGAAATTTATCTGTGTACCTTTCACACATTTAAGGATGCATGAAGTTATTTTAAGAAAGGCTTCTAAACCTATGAAAATTATCTGTAATATCCACTATTATTTAAACT